GAAGCAGGAGAGGCATTTGGGGAAATTCACTTTGGTATTTTGAGCGGGAAAAATCGATTGGGGAGAGCTTAGAGAATGCTACGTGGCAAAAATCTACTTATTTATTAGATTAGTGATATATATATATATATATATATTATATATATATATATATATATATATATATATATATAAATTCCGGACTCATTTTAGTTTGATTATCAATGTTTCAGTTTGATATCTATTATTGTAACTATCCTATGACTACTCGGTACGGGCACGCGAAGGGGCGTTTTTGCCTATGTGGAGGCACCTTAACCAGTGGCGGATGCAGCCCCATTTAGTGGGGTGCATGGACCCCACTTAGAAGTGGGTCCCACCATTTTTATTACTAATAAACTCTTTAAAAATCATATTTTTACTAAAAACACTCTCCTTAACACCTATTTGTACATTAATTGCCCCAATTGACATTTCTTTTACCTGAAAAACCCAAAAAAGTTTTGAATTTTATGTTTTTATAATTTTTTTTATGAAAATGGACCGCACTTATATTTAGTTGGAACATCGCCCGAGTCTCTAGTCATGAGATGTGGTAATGAACACGAGAGACATGGTAACGGTTGGAACATCGCCCGAGTCTCTAGTCATGAGATGTGGTAATGAACACGAGAGACAACATCCAATCAAATCTCTCTCTCTCTCTCTCTCACAACAACATGTTATAACATGAAAACAACACCCCACTTCATATTATAACATATTAAAATGTGTTCATATTATAACATATTAAAATGTGAGGTGACAAAATTTGGCTTCATAAAAAAAATAAAATAATAAGCCGTTGTCAATACCCAATTAAGTTAATTTTTACAAACTTTTTACAAAAAATCTGGCTTTGCATCTACTTTACCTATTCGATGCACAAACTTTATTTCATGGTGTGGTTCAAGACTCAGGACACAAGAGATCTCAACCATATAATACCATATCTCAGCAATCTAAAACCATTCAATTATTCAGAAGACATCACCGGCTACCGACAAAAAGATAAATATCCTTGTTTCATCGGAGTCTAGCTGTCACCGACGATAGCATACATAACCTTTCACTCCCCCAACATCCCGATTATGCTGACATACATACACTATTACAGAAAACGATTTACCATTTTATTATCGTTATTATCCAAATCAACACCAAAATTAAACACAACCACAATGATTCAAACGAAAAACAAGAACCAAAATTCCTCCAGATCATGATGGTGATGGTGACTTCAATTCTTACATCTATTGTATGTTGTGCATTCTCGACGGAGATATCTTTTTTTGCCTCCGGCGCAGCCCTTGCCCTGGCAACCCGGATTACCAGGTTGTAGAGCTCTATATGCGATTGGAGGACCTTTTGCCGCCTCCATAATCCGCATATGGTCTTCTGTATCCATCAGAAACTCCTGCTCTTCGTCCTCTATAACCTGACTGCACTCCGCCATGGTGCTGCCATTGCATGCCGCCATGGATCCGTCACAGTTTTTGATTATCGTCATCATCAATATGATTGATAGCCATAATAAGGCATAAGTGAAGAACACTGGGTTACGACTGTTGATCAACATCTTTGTTTTCTTGCGATGAATTAAGGTTTGGATGGTGTTTGTAGCTTTTTAATAATGAAGTTGCTAATGGAAGACTACTTGTGGGGGTTAGTTTATTGGACAATGACACCCATATGCCTTTTAAATAGTGCTGTCGAGAGTTTAATAATTGAGGGAAGGAGTCTTTGTACATGAAATAATTGTAAGTTTGGGTATATTTTGTCAAAAATTAGTTGGTAGTTACTTGTAAGTTTTATTTGTATGAAAGTGTTCATCATCAAAACTGAAATTTTTTGAAATAATTTTTGAATTATGAAATAATTGTCTAAAATAAATACTTTAACCTTAAACAAAGCTTTTTCCTTAATTTAATTATTTTCTTCTTTTTAAAAGTAAAAGTTGAAAGCTGTAAAAGTATTTTCTGAAGTTCGAGGCGAACATGCCATATACGTTCACCAATAATGACATATATCATAGAAATACAATGTAAACTTAAAAGGGATTATTATACATTCATATGTATACATAAACACATCTAGTTTATAGTAGCTTTCAAAGATAAAAAGCTCACAAAGGAAGGTGTAAACTCTAATGCATAATTTGTCGAATATTGAATCAAAAATGTCATATATATATATATATATATATATATATATATATATATATATATATATATATATATATATATATATATATATATATATATATATATATATATATATAATACTTAAAAAGACATTTTTGCTTCAATATTTTACAAATTATAAAAAAGGAAATAAATTCTAAGAAAGCCCACTTCATTTTGTTATTTTTTTTTAAAATTCACGTTTATTTTTTATCGAAAAAATAAAATAAATATATCAAAATTCATAATTTTTTATAACATTCATATCAATGTAATCTTTTTTTTATGAATCCGATTCACACTGTAAATCAGATTCACATTGTGAACAGATTTACACCGTGTATCTGTTTTGCATATAATATTGTTTTTCACATTTACAGTATAAATCTGACTTACTGTTTCAACAATTTTGATCATTTACAAATTAATTTAGTGAAATTTACATGTGAATCGAAATATATTTTCTTATAGTTTTATAATATTTTAATGTTTTAATTACGAATAAATTAGTTTTGTAAAATTGACATGTGAATTCTTCACACTGTAAATCTGAACTGCATATAATTCAATTTTCAAAGAATCACAATGTGAATCTGACTTACTATTATTCACACTGTGAATCTAAACTATATATATACTTCGGTTTTCAACATTACCGCGTGAATCTGATTTTTTTTCATCCATATCAATGTCTATTTAAAGAGTGCCAAAAATTATGAATTGTATTTATTTATTTTATTTTTTTCGATAAAAAATAAACCTAGATATTAAAAAAACTAACAAAACGAAGTGCGTTTTCTTGAAAAAAAAATCATTTTTTTGTATATCAATATGGATGTCCATGGAAAGGGATAAAAAGTTATGAATTTTGGTATATTCGGTTATTTTTAATAAAAGAATAGTTATAAAAATAAAAAATAAAAAAACGAAAAAAATAAGTGATTTTTTGTTATGAACTGGTGCATGTGCGTTCAACTTCTTCATGCGCATCCCTTTTTTTTGGCATTTGATCTTTCTAAGGCCAAACAGTGTGGAGCGGGAAGGAGGCTGCGGGAAGGGGAATCGCGACCGGAACACTATACCACCATTGCGGTTTGGGTGGTCCGGTTTCGATGTTAGGGGAGGCTACACTACCTCATCCCTCTTCATCGGATTGGCTGAAATTTTTTTTCTTTTTCTTATCCTAACGGTAATATACATAAAAAATTGATTTTTTTTATTTCTCATTTCAACGGCTATAAACATTAAAATTTTCAATTTTTTTAATTCATTTATCACCCTACAAATACGAAACCAGCCTAACTTCATTTTCACACTTATTTCTACATATTCTCTCAAGAAAATCACTAAAACACAATGTCGTCATCTTCGTCCTCCGATTCGACGATTCAAGAAGATGCATTATTTGTTGGTTCCAACATGGAAAAACTGTGGCGTATTTCTGAAACCGAAAAGGTCAAAGTTCACGTTTACGGCCTCAAACAAGAAAGCCTCTGCTGCGGAGAAATCACGAAGTTGGGCACAATCGTCTTATAGAAGAATATTTTGCAGATGACGTTGTGTACACAGTGCAGAAAAGTAAGCATGAGTTCCCAAGAATGCTAGGTAGTATCGATTGCATGCACTAGTCTTGGGCAATGTGCCCTAACGCGTGGCATGGTCAATACATGCGAGACGACCACAAAGAACCAATGTTTGTTCTAGAATAAATTACATCACATGATCGTTGGATATGGCATTCGTTCTTTGGTCCAGATGGTGCAAACAACGACATCAATGTTCTAGACTAGTCGTCGGTATTTAACGACATCTACCTTGAAAAGTCGCACAATGTACCGCTTGAAGCAAATCGGGTAGCATATAAGTGCCGGTACTATCTTACTGACGGTATATATCATTCCTTGTATGTTTTTATGAAATCGTTCACATGTCCGAGTGACGAAAAAATAAAAAAAAATTAAGGAGGCACAAGAGTCAGCTAGGAAGGACATAGAGCGAACATTTGGTGTACTCAAGAGGCGTTGACAAGTACTACAAGTCGGGGCATGGTCATATGAAGTGAAAAGGTTGCATCACAAAATGTACGCATGCATCATACTGCATAATAGGATTTTAGAAGATGAAGGAAGAGCGATATGTAGATACGACGAAAATGAAGTTTTGCCAAACGTCGAAAGAGTAGATTTTGGTACGAAAGAGTATAAGGCAAATAGGAGAGAAGTACATGATTGTGACATTCATCACGCCTTTTGTACGGATTTGGTGGAGCATGTTTATAGGGCTCGCGTACAACCCCAGACAGAGTATTGGCACGATGATTTGTTTGACGAATCAGATGAAGATTCGAATATGTTCGTTGAGGACTCTGGCGAGGATTCGGATGACGATGACGAGGACGAGGAGTCCAAGTGACATATTTTTTTTTTCAAATTCGGATAATATGTAATTTTTAATTACGTTTTCTAGGTTGTTTTTTTTAATCTTGGTTGTTTCCAGGGGCGGAACACGAACACTTTAAGTGGAGGGGCCGAAACCAAAATTTTATCTTTACTCAAATTTTTAATGTTAGCGACAATTAACAAATAATATGATCAAGTAACAATCAATAAATATCGAAAACTAGCAATTAACATACATTCAATAAATATATAAAAATTAAACAGTTAACTATCTTAATTTTCATAAAACTCTATGCCTATAAGTTATTTAAATACTAGTATATGAATTTTGGAAATAATACACATTAAAATAACATTGAAGTATGGCTGCCTTTTAAACTTTCAAGTTATTCTTTTCTACCTACTTTAGTGAGAGAAACGAGAGAACCATAGAGAGAGGAAGAGAGATCAGAAGAAGTTGCTTACAAGTCCAGATTCGATGACCAACATAATGGAGAGATGGAGAGCACCTGCAACAGAACGGAGTTGCAGAAAATGCACCGGCGACGGACTGTCGGAGGTTCCTCCTTGGATTTACAGGTCGTTCAACGTCATAAAGGAGAGAGTGGTCAGAAAGGGCGGACATGATAGAAGGAGTAGTTGGCACTCCGGCGGTGGCAACGACGTTATATTCTTGTGACAAGGCCGACGAGATTAGCACTCCGGTGGTGATTGTTTTTTTCCGGTGAGAAACTATTTTTCCGGTGGAGTGATGATTTAGTCTAGGGTTTTGTATCTTCATAAGGATTGAGTTAAGAGATTGGATATTAGAATAATTTTCTGGTAATTTATAGAATTTTTGTTTCCTAATATTTTTATGATTTGTTATAATGTTTCAATATTTCGTGGAATCTGTTAGTTACTAATTTGATTTTCTAATCGGTTCCTTCTTCTAAAATATCAAATAGGATTGGGTTTTTTGGTTTCTAGAATTTAGTTATCTAGATAATTTTTCAACATCACATATACAAATACGTCTTTTATGAAGGGAGGGCAGAAAGTTTGTCAGCAAATAAATTCAATATATTGTATATAGTATAAAGTACATAGAAGATAAAAAATCAGGGGGGCCATGGCCGCCCGGCCCTTTAATAGCTCCGCCACTGGTTGTTTCTATGTTTTTTTTTAAGTAATGAAGTATTTTTATTTTAATTAATCTTGTGTTTATTAATCATTTTTAAGAAATTATATTTATTTTTTGAATTATAAATCTTAAAAATCATTTGTTTTTATTTTAAAAAAATATCAGTGAAAGGTGACGTAGCCCTCAAAAAGTGAAAGGTGAAAGATGGGTATACTCGATGGCCTAAGACTTTAAATAAAAAATTACCTAATTTTTTTTTTATTTTCGTTGGTAAGTTGTAGGAAATAATCTGAAAGTTTTTACTTCGCCATAAAACATCCCGCTTTCCCCAAAAAATTTCTAGGTTTAAGTTTTTCCCACCTAGTCCCGCCTCCTTCGTATTCGCACCATAAAATCACACTTCCTCAATATTCATCCCTTCGATCGGTTGTTCATTCTCCACCTTCCCTTACAAAAACATGGCAACGATCGATCTTCCATGACCACCCCTAACGATCTATCTGTTTAGTTCAACGTTGTAGCGTCCTAAAAATACTGATAAAAATTTTTATTTTTAAAATCATCAAATCCATACATCATGTGTTTCAAAACCAACCATAGTACAACGTATCAAAATCATCAGAGTAAAATAACCACCGAAACAGAAATCATAATGGGATATTGTGCGGTCAAGTCAGGCCCTTCACTTTGGAATTGGAAGTACCTAAAGAATGTTTAAACCACAAACCGTAAGGTAAAAGCTTAGTGAGTTCCCCAAAATACCACATACCATACAAATGGGCTCCGCCCAATAAGTAGATGGGCCTAGCCAAACGTACATACAAATGAGCCTAACCCAATCATGCAAATAGGCCAAGCCCAACATACATGTAAATGGGCCTAGCCCAACATATAATAAATGGGCCCAACCCAACATATAATTAATGGGCCCAACCTAACATACAAATAAATGCGCCCAACCCAAGATATTATGAATGGGCCTAGCCTAACATATAATAAATGGGCTTAGCCCAACATATACATGCAAGAGTCTGTTGGGGTCGAAAGTTGTTGTGAGATGTCGAAGGTTGTCAAGGTCATTCTTAGTATCGAATGCATGTTTGTTAGTGTATTATAAGGGCATTATATATCGAAGCTTAAGTGTCTTAGTCCCTTATATTTTTTGTACGCTTTCTGTATCCCTATATATATGGGATGAATACTGGAGTTAGAGAAGTTTTGGCATTCACATTGTACTCTATGATATTTTCTCTGATTTTCATTTGTTTTCAAAAGGTTTTGAATCTCGTTCTAGATTCAAAATATTATGCTCTTTTGATTCTGAAAATCGTCACAGATCATCTGTTTTGATTCGATTCTGCTTATGATTTGTAAGATCGAGTATCGTGTGTCAGTTTTCTGGAAGTTTTTGTCAATCAAATCTCAATTTTTGAAGCTTTTCCCAAATTTCATCTTTACATCAATGGCGAACTTCAACATGAACTCCATGAATTCATACTCTCATCTTCTTGGTTCTTCTACAAAAATTCCTATGCTGATTCCTAAGTTCTACGATCAATGGGCGGATCGTATGGAGGATTATTTGAATGGAATAGATGAGGATCTCTAGAAATGCATTATTGGTGATGTTCATCCTCTTCCTGCTGTTCAATGTGTTGGAACTTCTGCTAATAATCAAGATGGTGCATATCAGGCTGAGAAACTAAAGAAGAATGAAAAGAAATGTATGCGTGAACTCTGTGGTGCTCTTCCTCTAGTTGTATACAATTATGTGCACAGTTGTAAAACTTCAAAGGAGATTTGGGATACACTGAAGGAGAAGTATCAAGGCAGTGAAAAAACAAAGATTAGCTCAGTCAAAGATTAGGAGAGTTTAAGCAGAAGGAAGGTGAATCTATTGAGCTCTACTATGATCATCTGAATGATCTCATATTCAAGTGTAACAGATATGGGGTTATAAGGTCTACAATGGAGTTCAATCTAACATTCATCATGGGACTTCGAAAAGAATGGAGAAATGTCAGCCTTATGATTAAGAAACAACAATTTTTCGACTATTTTTCACTAAATGATCTCTACAATGTGTTAAAAGCACATGAATCTGAAGTGAATGAAATTGTTGAGGAAACAAGGATCAGTCTGGGTGGTCCTCTTCCTCTTGTGTCAAAGGTTGCTGGAAGAGAGGATGAGAAAGAAATTGCTCAGAAGGAGAATTCGGAAGATGAAGGCTTGATCATCAACTCTGAAGACGAAGCAGTGGCGTTTTACTCAAATAATCGAGTAAAGAAATTTTTCAAAAAGCACTTTAATGCGAAGTCATGAACAAGTGAAGTGAAAGGAAATTTCTCTGGAAAGACTGTGAGTGAGGAAAAGAAAGTGGAAAAGAAGGAAGGCAAGGCTGAAAAGGTGAAGGAGGAGAAAAAGCTTAAAGGTGACTCTGGATTCGACTGCCATTACTGCAACGGAGCGAATAATATGTCAAGTGATTGCATGTTGCGAAAGAGGGATGAAAATAAGAATAGGGTCAAAGATGAAGCATGTTATGTGGAAAGGCTGGAGAAGGTTAGAGCAAAAACAAAGGGGTGTCTTTGGTGGCAAAAGGATTGGATGAGGACGAAGGGACATATCAAATTTGGTCATTAGGGTCCGATGATGAGGAAATGTGAAACCCTACACATGGGGTAATGTTCACAAAGCATGAGGATGACGATGACGAGATTGTCCCTGTGAGATGCTTTGTCTCGACAACTGCTTACAAGTCACCCATGACTTCGCATGTATGTTCTCTTCTATAATCCTTTAATATTCCTTCAAGTGCGTATAATTCTATGTTATCTGAGTTTGATAAAGCAATTACTTACTTTAATGATTTGCTTATTTCTGCTAGTAATGATCCCAAAAAGTTCAATACGGAACTACTAGAAACTCAGAGGATTTTGGAGACCAAGAAAACTATGATAGATCAATTAGATTTACAATTGACTCATGTAATGTGTGATCGAGACAAACTTAGATCTAATAATAAAGATTTGCATAAACAAAGAAACATCTATTGTAATACTGCTAAAAGGTTGTATGAGGAATTAACTGCTTTACATCATTTGTCTGATATTAGCAAAGAACAACATAGGAAGCTTCTGCCCTTTTTAGCTTTCAAAAGGGAGAAAATAGACTCGACCTCCTATGATTGTGAAAAGAAATTTTTTGAGTATGATAAGGTCCCAATAGATTCTTATACATATGGTGTTGTGAAAATTGATGAATGTTTAGATGCAAATGATCTTGTTAACATTGTAAATGAGACCCTGACCAAAAATGAACAAATCAAAATTTTGGAAAGAACTGAGAATTCGACTTCTAACCCTAAAAACAATTTTGCTGATATCGAAGATGACTCTGATGATATTATTGAAATTGAAGAGGAGGAAGTTGTTGACTATTCTCAGTTATCTGTCATTAATGTCACTTCGATGGCTAAGGGTAAAGAAAAATGTTATGATTCTTTGGTTAAAGTTGACACATACCAACCCTCGACTTCTAAAGTTCATGATCCTGACCATGTGACTATCGAAGATAGGCAAACAGACAGTGATGATGACAATGATGATGCTTCGAAAGAAACAACCATACCCCGGGTTGTAGTTGATTAGGTCTATGAGGAAATAGAGAAGTTCGACACAATAATGAAGGAAAAAGGCTCTCATTACCTTGAATCAAATTCAGTTGTGTATCCAAACTTCAAATGCACCGATGAAGTTATCTTTCCAAATCAGGTGTTTGTTACCTCTGCGAATGGTGATAAAGTTAAACCTGAAATCAACTAAAATGTTGAAGAAGATAACAAGAAAGCTTCGAAAGAATGATTTTTCTCAAACCAAAGCACCGTCGAAAATAATCTCAACAAGAATTCTTCCACTTTTCAAAGACAAAAACCACAAAGAAATTGGGTTGTTAAAACTGGCAAACCAAAAGATGAAAAATAGTCAAAAGAAAAAGTTTCTGAAAAGTCAAAACAAAATGTTCAAAATTTCAAAGAACAATTTGAAAAGATTTCAAAGAACAAGGGATTCCGATGACTAAAGCAAGAAAGAAGGTTTATTGGCAAAATATTGAGTCTCGAAAGAAACAAAACATTTTGTCCAATAAATCATCTCAACCAATTAAGTCTAAATCAGTTCAGACAAATTCTCAAAACAAATCTTCAATTAAGAAAACACCCGCTCAACCTCAAAAAACTTTTTCAAAAAGTCAATCACAAAAAGATGTTTCAAAAAGTCAACGACAAGCTTCGTCATCCAATACTAAACCATATTTTCAAAACCCAACCAAAGAGAATTTTGTGAAAAATCAACAATCAAAGAATTTTGTTCATCATTCTAAAAAAAAAGTTTTCACAAAATCACTTTCAAAGGAATGGTTCTTAACCAAATGAACAAAGGAAAATTTCTCAATTTTCTAATCAAAAGCGATTTTTGAATGGTCCGCAAGCTTTTCAAAGATCAAATGTTGGTTATAAAACACGGTTTCAAAATCGATTTCAACCACAAGTAAAAATTTGATTTTTCAAACCAACATTTTGAAAAGTTGAATGTAAATGCAAAGGGAAATGAGACATTCAACCCTATACAACCTCATTTTCCCAATCATCCTTCGCAAAA